GGGATCCCTTAATTCAGGTTTTGGAATTATAGTGAAACTTGCAGATGGAATTGATGTAGCTTTGATTTTGCAGAGTTGGATGCCACCTCAAAAGTGGTTGGTGAACAAGAACAAACAAAACACCTGAATGGTTGATGCAGGATTGATTCAACATGATTCAACGGCTTCTTAACGTGGTGCATCCAAAAAGCACCCGACTCACTGACGCATGATAGCTGGTCCAACCTAGGGACTGGCCCCAATGGTTCAGGTGTATCCACTGACATAACTGACCTGCTGGACCCTGTCAGGCTGTGTGGAAGTGGTAGGGTATTCGCTTCAGGTGGTTCACTTCGACCTTTTACAGGTGGCTTTCCACTTGGTTTCCCTTTGAAAGCTGAAAATGGCTCACCAAACCATACCACACACATCCACGGGGTTTTGCTCTTGGTTTCCCTTTGAAAGCTGAAATGGCTCCCCAAACCATACCACGCACATTCACGTGGTTTTGCTCTTGGTTTCCCTTTGAAAGCTGCAAAGGGCTCACCAAACCCTACGACACAACTCCACGGCCCAAGACGGCAGGCGGGCCCCAGGCCCAACATGGTCGCCCTGAACTCTGCAATCAGCGCCTGCGCGCACTGCAGCGCGGGGGCTCAGAACCTGAACTCGGCGGGTGTCGAGTCCCGGTGTGGCTTTTTTTTTTCCCTAACCAAAAAGGTGCCTTTTCCACCATTAGGATTGGGGTTTAAGGGTTCGCAGGTTGGTTACTTGGATCTTCGGCCAAGTTGGTAAGTGGCTAGCCAACCAACAAAGAACAGGCTTAGGTTAGTTTCACTTAGGGGAACTTCTGAGTGGGTGAAAACCTAGGTACAAACAACATAATTACTAACTTGGCTGAACGCCCAAATAACCAACCTGCGAACCCTTAAAACACATCCTCATGGTGGAAAAGGCACCCTTTTGGATAGGAAAGCCCGCAAAATACATCCTTCAAGTCTTAAAACAAGTCCTCCAAATGAACCACAATCAAAACCCGGGTAGATGAAGGTTACGGGAGAATCCCAACCGTAAATGGGTGCGGATATGCGCCTTTTGATTCTTTACATGGTGCTGGGTCAAGAAAGAACCTGTTCGATGTTGGGTCCCCGGCATCAATTTTCCAACAAGCGCCGCACCCAACCGGAGGAGATCACAGAATCAAACCATACCCACGGCTGGAGCCTACCTGTGGATGGACGAAATCCATTTCGAGCGAAACCATTCATTTTTGGTATTTACAGGGAAATCATCATTCCCGGGTTTCTGAACGGTGCAGGAGTTCGTCCATCCAAAGCATCAATTCCAATCCCAGCGTGGCTTCTGAATTCCAGAGATTGCCCACTTCAGCTGCAATCCGGGCCAACTTCACCCGGCATGGCCCCCCAAAAAGGGAGACAAAACCCGATGCTTTTGGTTATGGGTGTGGCTCAAAATTTGACAGGAGGGGCAAACCGCAGGTTTTGGCCCATGTTTCCACTTGCCAGGGCAACCCATTTTGGTACCGGTTTTTTGAGCCACAGCCTTATGCCTTGTGGCCTTTTCGGACTCGGCCTTTCTGAGGCCAGTGGATGGCCGCCTTGGACGTTTTCCGCCGGCTGCAGGGCCAGTGCCAGTCCCAGCCTCAACGCGACAGGTGCCCAGCCTCAACGCCACGTGCAATCGAAGCCGATTCGGGTAGATGAAGGTTAAGGGACAATCCCCTTGCCATAAATAGCCGCGGATCTCCGCCTCAGTTCTTCACATGGTTCTGGGTCGAACATTTTAGTACCGGGTTTTGATTATATGACTCAGCTCACTCACTCGGAGCTGGGGGTCTTCAAAGTTTCTTTGGAATGGGGAGCTAAGGAGCTACCGATCCGAGTTCTACAGAAAGCATGGTGTAAGGTAAGCTGTCAGGTTGGCGGTTTGGAGGTTTTGGTAGAAGACTAATAGGAGACCCTCCGTTTCGCCACCAAACCACCGGGCTCCAAACCACCAAACAAGGAGGGAAGCTGATTTTGGCGCTGGGTTTAGCGGAAAGCCATCCATGTGGCAACGACTTTTGTGACTACGACGGGAGAAACGAAAAAGATTGTGACAGATGCCAAATCATTTGTCAAACTTGATCACACATTCGATCTTTGAGGTTGCTTCTGATTTTCTGTTTGTTTGGCCCCAATCACTTCGACTAAGAAAGCGCATGGAACTTCAATCAATGGAGCTCCTCTACCTTCCAAAAGTGCTCGTTGCAAGAATCTGAGACTCAGGCGCTCGCCTTGTGCCAACAGGATGTTGAGTTCAAGTTCGGCCACCGAGACTCGCAACCGACTCCATGATTGGGAAAGCGTCAGACTTCGGAACTGGATGGCAGGATGGCTTTTGGCCGGATCTTCTTTTCCACATATGGCAGTGGTTGTCAAACCGTTTTGGGATCCCATTTTGGTTGGTAGGTGAGAAAAACCACCCATTTTAGAACCTATTTTAGCGGGGATTGGGATGTTCACTGGGGGTACGATTTGGCTTTTGACCCATGGCCATATGATAGTGGCAAGTCAGGATCTTGCATGGTGTCCATGAAACCAGAATACCGAACGTGCAAACCAATAGCAACGCTTACCATGCTCATGGAGTGGAGAGCGATGAGTTTATGGAGGCCCGACTTGGTCGCCCTCACTTCTGCTTGGGGCTCAGATTTTGCAGTCTGTCCTAGAGTCTCGGGTTGCCCACTTGATCATTGACCCAGGATTAGCCACCCTGGCGGATTTATACTGGGTTGCATCGCGCCCTCTCAAATTTTGATTCATCGAACCGGGGCTTATAATTCGGGGGCAACATCACTTCGGTGATGCGTTTGAGGAGCTGTCTGGACTGAGTGTGACCCGGGAGGCTTGCCGGAGTCCACATCCCATGGGAATGAATCGCCTTCCGACCACCCGTACGTCCATGGCTACAGGCAAAAGTTTCACGGGGAGCTTCCCGCAAGAAAGGAGTTGAACCGGTTGAACCGGTGGGGTTCTGCCAGAGGGTCCTTTGTTCAGGACACGAAATAGCCGGCACCGAAGCGGCTCCCTGAAAAGGAGCCGGCCATATTTTTACACAGCCCTTCCCAGCTGCCCAGTCTGCCAGTGCCACCCTTGCTGTCCCTTTTTTGGGGGAAGGGTTCCCCTTTAAACTCAACCAACCCAAAACAAGCTCGGATGCATCCATGTTTTCCCCCCATGGAAATCCACTATTTTTACTCAAATTCCACCAAGCACCCCGAAAAGAATCGGATGCATCAATCTTTTTCCCCCGTGGAAATTCACTAGTTTTACACAAATTCCATGAAAATCCACTATAGGTTGCATCTCAAATTCCACCGGTCGCACCTGAGGTCTTGACAGCTTACGAACAGGCCTCCAGGTGGGCGCAGGCCGCCATCTCGCACGAGTTTAGATGTTTTTTTTTCCTCAGGCCCTGTGGGTCAAAGAGACTGGGGGTCAAAATGTCAGGTTGGCTTGGATATGCTTGGATGTTTTTGTACTTTGGGGATCTGAAGCCCTGGTATGTTGGTGATATGAGGATCAAGATATCCTGGTTGTTTGTGGTCAGCTCTAAATTTAATGGGCATGGCTGGCTGCAAGCGGCATTTGGTGCAGCCAGTTTTTGTCGGTAAAGTCGCGACCCCTCAGCATTTTTGCATGGAACCCCTTCAACGGTTCGGAAAGTCGGTCCTGGTTTGGACCAAATGTTCTTTGTAAAGGGAGCGGTTCGCGAACGTCCAATTAATTGTTGGGAGGGTAAGATGTCTTTCCCTTCCAAATCCTTTTGGATGTTGTACCTGAAAAGTTCTTTTGAGGCCCTTTTCAGGTTGAAGGGCAATGGCAAGCCAAAAATGATCTTTTGAGAGTACCCGTTCTGCCTTGCGGGGAAATCAACAGGACAGTCACCATTAGTGGTTGAGTGGCTCTGCAATCAAACAAGTGCCTTCCTGGACCTTTTGGGAGTTGCCCCCCGCTTGAAGCTAGAATTCTTGATCTACACGACAGCTGCTCGTCTTGTTTGGGTCCCCATAAATGGCCAGACGCATATGGCCAGAAGAGTTCTTCTGACCCAAAATCGATCTCGCTCGCAACATTTTTGCATCCAGTATGAGAACCCGCGTGCGTTGTGGTCCTGGGCCGAGCCCTCCAGGGGTGGAACCACAAACCAGTTTGCAGTGAAGTGATCCGGAGAGGCTCGAACCAAAAGACATGAGGCTACCGCTTGGGTGCTCGGTCGAGTTAGTAAGTGGTTGGCCACCTGGCTTACCCTTCCTCCAACTAACATGGCACCTGTGGGGAGGTACCTGGAAGATTCACTTCCTTTCGAAGGGACCCCCTCTCAGACTCTCAGTTGCAATGTTAGTGGGAGGGCGGGTACCCACTGGGTTAGAATCACGAGTGGGTCATAGCTCAGGTGGCGAACCACTTGGCTGAGTGCCCATGGCCCGTTGCCAGGCTTTGACGTTCGGCCAGCGCGGAGCTTCGGCCCCAGCCGGCTGCACCCGGTCGGGAAGGATGTTGTCGGAGGTCAGGCGTCAAGCATCGCCTGGGGTGTGCTTTGAGCCAACATCGAGTCCTACCGAAAAGCTTTGGCAAAGGGTGCCTTGTTGTTGGGGGACCCCTTTTTTGGTGGGTTTTAAAAGGGAAACCACCATTTTGGAGGGTCAAAGGGTGAATGGCTGGTCAGAGGGTCAAGAGGGAAGCACCTCCCAAATGGCTGGTCAACAAAAATCATGATGTCCAAGAAACCTAGGGCGGGTGATGCTCAGGTCCCCGTGTGTGCCAAGAGCCGACAGTGGGAAGAGGAGCCGCAGATATGATGAGCGTCGTATTCTGCTACCATGCTTATTATGCCATGTGTAGGACTTTGTTCGTGCAAACCCTTGCCAACTTACTTTACTTGTAAAAGGGGAACATAGATGATCACCTAGGGTTGGTTCTCTCTTGATGCTGTGCAGGCCATCCGGAGACGAGCATATGCCGGCGATGCAGGTGCCCGCTTGTGGAGGGTAAATGGAAAACCACCCCAGCCTCTAAACCACCGATTAGAGCGAAGCAGTGGCTTGTGGCGATACACGCCTTTCCAAGACCGGGGTGTGCAGGCTCCACACTAGCGGCCAGGAATTTTGACCACAAAAGCGGCTGGACATGAATCCTCATAAATGATGCTGTTATCCATCAAAAGGTCTCAAATTACAACTCATACACATGCGGGCCCAAGTGGGTGTGGGTCAAAATTAAACAACCAGGCGACCACAGGTTTGCATGTCCTTGGTTCCATTTACCAGGGCAAGCCATTTTGGGGTTACCCCATTTTGTATCCACAGCCAAGTCTCACGCGATCGGTCCTCGTGCTCTTGAAAGGCCTGCGAGAATGCAATGCGGCCCTCACGGCCTGCGGAGAGGCTTCACCGGGTCATTTTCGGCGAGGGTTGGATCTTGGCATGTTTGGTACGCAGAAGGGGCTGCAAACCGCAAATCACTGGTTGTTCATGTTTTTGTTGTTGTGTGTTTGTGTTGCGCCCTTGTTGCATCGTGGTTCAACATACATGCTTCTACGCCAACAACCTCACCATAAGCACCCCGTATCTGCCCAACCAACTTCAGATCCCGCTGAGGCTAAATCTTGCCTGCTGTGCAAAGGATCGAGCGATGCCGGTCATCCGTCAAACCCGGTGCACTGCCGTGCTTGAACATCAATCTGCTGGATTGACAAGGGGGATCAACGCCCCACTATAGACTTTTTCCTTCCACCGGCCACCGGCCACCGGCCACCGGCCACCGGCCACCGGCCACCGGCCACCGGCCACCGGCCACCGGCCACCGGCCACCGGCCACCGGCCACCGGCCACCGGCCACCGGCCACCGGCCACCGGCCACCGGCCACCGGCCACCGGCCCCCGGCCCCCGGCCGGCCCCCGGCCGCCGGCCACCGGCCACCGGCCACCGGCCGGCTTCCGGCCACGGGTTTCCGGCCACCGGCCCCCGGCCACCGGCCACCGGCCACCGGCGCCCGGCCGCAAGGAAAGCTCACGCGTTCTTTACCCAAGCTCCTGCTGTGTTTGCAGCGGCGTCTTGGAAGCCCCCGCAAGCGTTTCAAGGCACGCGCGGCCGCCTCTATGCACTGGTGCACCGCGAGCTGGGTGAATACCTTGTTCATGTTGTGAATTGTGTGACCCAACGGGCTGAACACGGAATTCACCGATTCTGCCCCGACATCGCCCAGCAAGCGCTCGTTTGCTTCCAAGGTCGGCGAGCTCACAGAATCTCCCCTTGTTACCACCGCGTGAAGGCGGTCAGCCGGCGCGCTACGTGTGAAGCCCAACAGTGCTGCAGGCAGAACAGCTTACTTCAAATGACAGATGTCATCTCGCACCACTGTCTGCAAACTGGGCAACTGAGCGGCCACTTGACTTAGGAAGTGGTATCGCTGCAACAGCGACTCTGCTGCAATGACCTCGTGTAAATCGAACATCAAGCTTGCAGTGGCAGGGGTGCGGAAATCGTAGAAAAGGCCAGAAGCAAGCTGTAGAACGCGCTGGCTGCGGAACAACGGGGCCGCTGTTGTGCCTTTCATGTGTTTTCCCCAGCTGCTACGCGCCTCCAATGCTAACTGCCAGAAGGAACCCGGCAGTTCTGGCTGCAGCAGCGATGTGCTTCTGAGTTCCCTTGTGTGTATTGCACCTGTTTTCGCCCGAGGCCAAGAACGTTTTCGGTCGCATTTCTGCCCGCGTGCTTGCGCCCTTCGCTGCCGCCTGCGCGACTCAACACGAGCGCTTCGCGCCTTCGACAGATGAGAAACATTGTGTGATACCTGCCCGAGTCTAAAGATGACATGGTTTCGAACTGACCAAGCCTGCGCCGTATGTTGGCGTCAGCCAAAGTGGCAAAGCAGCGGGAAGCGTCTTTTCACTGACCGCGCAAGCTGGCCAAATCCTGCCAGCTGAGCTTCGCGATGGCATACATCGTCAGCATCGTGCAGGGCTCGCTTCAGACGGTGGCGGCCAATCTCACCTCGACACGGGCGTCCTGGCTGGTCTCGATCCGCTGCGTGCTTTTGATAAAGTGTGTCCCTGCTGTGTGGTCGGCGGCTGCATGCGCGCAGAAGCAGCTTGCCCACGTGCGGGGAGCGGAGCACTTCGAGAAATGGCATGCCGCACGTCTGCCTGTGAAGTTGGCAGTTGTCGTCCATGGCTAGGATGTCCTGGCGGTCGCCAGAGGCAATGAGCTGGGAATGTCGCGCAGGGGAACTAACAGCAATGCAATCTCCTAGCACATAATAAACTAGAAGCACAAACGACCAACGACTGCCTTTGGAACATGAGCGGCTCGTACCAAGACCAATTGGCTTCAATGAGCTGCTCCAGGGGCGATGCAAGAAGTTGCCCTGCCAGCTGCCTCCGCAAGTCCTCTGCAGCATCTCCTACACGTCTCCAAAGAATCCCCTGCGCCCATGCCTGCGACAACTGCTGCCTTGCTGTCACCTGCACATTCGGGTCCGAGAGGCGCAGCAGGACGGCTTTTTTTGTGAAAAGAGGCTTGATGGAGAAACAACCTGCACATTCGGGTCCAAGGCGCAGCAGGACGGCTTCTCCCTGAAAAGAGGCTCGGTAGAGAAACATTCTGTACCTCCACCTGCGCAGCCAATGACTAGCCACGCCGAGACTCTGGGTGAGGCAGATCAACCTCGCGTGTGCGCCTTCCATCACGCAGCACCTCGACGAAGCCGCACCAAAACTTCTTGCTGGACTTGCAAAGGGAGCGCGCGCTGGCAACATGCCACGCTTTCAGAACGCTGGGCTTTGCAATGATCTGGCAGGAGACAGCGCCCGCCTGGCGAGGTCTAGCAGGCACTTTACGAAGAGGACATCTGCAGTCAGGACAAGTCTCCCGGCTGGAAGACAGCACGAGCTGCTGGTGAGGCTGCGTGGGCAACTTGCAAGCTCCAGTTCCCACAGCAGCCCTGGAACCAGGAAGTCTTGGTGGCCATGCAACGAAAGACCTTAGGCTTGAAAAAGCATGACCTGCGGTGGCAGCAATTTTGATTTCTATTGCAAAGCTAACTGGGGCACCGCACGCGAATGCCAGTTGCAAGGAAAACTGGCCCGACGCAACTAGGCTCCACTTTTTCCATTGCCCCGCAGTGTCCAAAACTCTGACGCACGCCAGTCAAAATCAGAGGCTCATAGCTGCTTCTTCTACCAGTGCGAATTTTGCTCAACCAACTGCACGACAAATTGATGGATTGGCCACTCACGCTGCGCTCCCAACCCCATCTCTCCCGGTCGGCGGCGTTGACGGCGCAGGCACAGCAGGAGCAGCAGGCGCAGCTTGGGACCCTGGCAGACCTGCCGCAAGTGGAGCTTCACCCTGGCCTGGCGGCAGCGTAGGCTGCTGCTGGTGGCGGTCATGCCAAAGTGCCCGGCGCTTAGAGATCTCTCGGATGGAGACTCGGCAGCACTGCATGGCCTAATTGTGGAACAGCAATTGGTTCACGGAGTTCGTGGACCATGTCCTGAGCTTCACTCCGCAATCTTCTTTCTTGCGCGCAGAAACAGGCGTTGGCTCGATGAATCCCAGCCGAGAAAATCGCTGAAAGGCCGCCTCTAAGACCTCCTTGACCTGCAAGGGCAGGGTTCGCTTGGAGAAATTAGGCATTGGTGACAAGGGCGCGCGAATTTAAGCTGGAACGACATCCGGCACGATTGCCGTAAACCAACACCTCATGAGGCCCCCCAAGCCTGCGCCAAGCTTGGTCGGATTTTCCGGCGCTTGCCATCCTTGGTGGACACGTGGTGGTAGAGATCCACAACCCGGCTCAGCTTGAGATCACTTTGGCCGGAAAGCAAAACTTTGCGGACGAGGGCCTCCTTCTCCTTGAAAATCATCGTGTTGTTATTGCCAAGCCCTTGTTTGAAGAACCTGTCTGCGGAAAGAGGCTGTTCGAAAGTCAGCGCAGCTGGCACAGGCAGTTCTGCCTGTGTGTCATCCGCATCCGTGAACTCTTCAAGACCCGGCAAGGAGACGGGCTCATGCTCTGGGACCGCCAGCAGAGGATGCATCCCTAGCCTCTCGTGGCCGCGTGGGGGTGGTCATAGCCTGGCTTGCGGCTGGCGCAGCAAAAGGCCCCAAGCCATGCACAGGCTTGACTATGTCGTTCTCGCTGTCCGTGTCTGGCTGCTGCTGCGCAGATGAAGGCAAGGCGTTTCGAAGAGCACAGCGGATCTGCAGGTTCAGCTCCACAAGGCGACTGGCCACCTGCTGGGGGGGGACCCTTTTCTCTTTCCAACCTGTCCGACAAAACCACGCCTGAACGTGCTCAGCGGTCACCATCAAGTTCCCTGATGCATCGAAAGAGCCACCGCCGCTTGCCAGCGCCAAAATGGCGACTGCGGCGGACATTTGTCCATGGTGCGCCGCTGCCTCGGCATGCAAGGCTTCGACGCCCGCACGCTCTGCGCGACTTGGCTGCCTGCCCGGCTGCGGCTGTTGCGTACATATTTCCACATGTTTCCCTCACAAAAAAAAACGGGCAGCTAGTGGGCATTGAAATTTCCCTGCAGGAACGGGGTGGGAAGCCTCCACAACCTCAGAAATAAAGCCGCCGCCAAGTTGCCAAGGAGAAGCTTGCGAGCCTCACCTTCAACAGTTAACACTGAGTGAGGCCGCGAGCGAAAGTAGTCCGTAACTCGCCGGGCTCCTGCTTGGATGTGCTCGGTTGGATCCTTCATCTGCCACCTCCCTGAAATTCTGAATTCGGTGCGCCATCCTGTCTGCTGTCCTGAGCGCACAACAGCCACTTGCCTACACCTACCTACCTTGTAATTGTGGTTTTCGTGCCTGGCGGACCTACTGTTGGTCAAACTCGCCCCATGGCCAGACTGAAGCCAAAGATAAGAGGCGGTCACCAGAAACACACGCGGCTTATTGCGCGCGCTTATGGGGAAAGAGCCAGATAACTTAAGAGACCAAAGGAAAGGCAAACTCCAGGCAAGCGCGGCCACGGCAGACACATACACAAGACACTTGCCCACCACATAATCCATTAGCTTCTTGACAATGCAGTCAGCCCTACACTCTGCCGCTAGGGTGTTAGCCAGAAATCACCAGGGAAGAAATTGCTTATTGACTGCATCGCTTTCCCCAAACTGCATGCAGGGCACCACGCTCATCAAGCTGGGCAACATACCTCACACGGGAAGGCACGCCGTCTGAAGAGAGTCATGGGAAAGCCCTCCCCGCCATCGTCATCCTCTGCCTCCTGGCGAACACTGTCAAAGTAGCCCGGGTTGTTCATGACCCCCTCCCACTTGAAGGTGCCGACAACTCCGGGTCAGCGGCCAACATGCTCTGCGGCAGGGCATCGTGGCGTGCCACCGAGGAGTCAACGCGCGTCATGAATCTT